AAACAGAAGCTGCCGACGAAAGTTTCGGAGAAGAATGAATATTCTGAGAATTGAATAATGAATTGAATTGTAAACTGCTGAATTAAACAATGAATTGTAAATATATTCAGATTGATTGTACCATCAAGAATTCTCAGCCTATTTCTTAGATTGTGTTAAAATAATATTGAATTAAAAGAATTAAAGCTGAAGGCGTAAGTGATGACACCACAATCACGGAAGCCACACAAATATCTTCCAATACTCACTGGCCAACCCAAAATCAACGGTCGGCCTTGATTGTTCACCGTTTTTAGGCTCCTCGTCTCTTTCGCGATGCAACACAGCCCGTGCGGATTTAAGCACGGTCATAAACGAGCAAGACGCAATGGGTCTGAATACTGTTAGCCAGCTGACGGTTGCGTAAAATACAACGCCTTTAGGTTTTCAACAAAAATAGTCACGTTATAGTATTGCAAGTTTATTATCATAGATTTACGATAAAATACGCAAAAAGGTTGTATAATGCAGCAGTTCTAAAACGTTTAGTTTCGGAGATACAAATATAGGGTGTAGAATTTTATTTCGATTTTTCCAGTTACTTTTCGAGCAACATCACTAGAAAATAGGCTCAAAAGCTTGACATTGTGATTTTGATGTTGCAACACACCTGTTTGGGAGCGCCAGGCCACAGTTTTTTACCGCTTTGAAGAGTAATAATTTTTTCTATCGCGCCTAGGCAGCTGGCTGAGTAAAACAGCCCACGACGCTTGCGGTGCTTGAAACAGGAAATTTGGAAAGTAAGCGCAATAACTGTTTTAGTCGCAGCTTTATGAAAATCACAGCTTTCTCAACAATGCCTTTCCTTCCATAAAGACATCTGGGGATTACCGTACCTGTGTCATTCTGTGATACACATTTCTTTATTTTTTATTAAATATTTTTTATTGTTGCAAGTACTTAACTGCATCTTGTTATGTAGCCATCAAAAACATTTGGTCAGGCCTGCGCCCATGTTGATTATCTAAAACATCGCGGTCAAACTCTGTTTTGGCGCCATTTTACCAAAGTAATGGGGGTTGTTGTTGGCAGAGGTAATGCAGCTGCATTGTTTGTGCTTGCTCAATATTTACAGCAGGTGTTGGTTTGCGAGGCGCATTTTATTTTTTCTTATTTAAATTTTTCCGCCAGCCAGAATACCCAGTACACGATAAAGCATACAGCACCTGCGTTGTACCGAAAAGAATATGTCAATGTTGGGGAATACCACGCTAGTTTGTCTTGAAACTTCATTAAAAAAGCGCTTGGTGTTCTCCTCCTTACTGCCAACAGGTATAAGTTTTTTTGCTGTAATCCGCATCTGTCAATAAATGCTGATATTCCTTTTTGTTAAAGAAAAACTTGCGAGGCAGATGTGTAGTAATGGCATTTTTGAGTAAATGCGGCCTGTATTTGGCAGGGCTGAATTATCGCCTCCGAAGATTCTGCGCCTGGCTAAGACGGTACGATTTATATTTTCTATTAATAGAGACGCCCAGGAGCATTGGACAAGATCTGTTGGAGTTTGAGCGCAGTGCTGCAAATAGTCGAAATTTAAAGACTATTTGCAACACTGCGTAAAACTATGGAATCTTACGTATTAGTATATAAGATTAAAATTATCCTATTAATAGAAAAAATATAAATACTGCACCGTCTTAACAGACGCTTTAATACAATTTCGTCCATAAGGTAGCGTGGCCGAGCGGTCTAAGGCGCTGGTTTAAGGCACCAGTCTCTTCGGAGGCGTGGACCCGAATCCCACCGCTGCCAAATACTTTTTTCTTTTTTATTTTTTATTTACTCAAAAAATACTCTCCCATTTACCTTACACATCATTTCTCTGAAAACGATCCACCTGCCTCATAAAAAATAAGTTTTCTTTACGTCGACAACAGTAAAAGCGGAATAAAAAAATACTGAAACGTTTATTGACCGTCTGAATTACAGCAAAAAGGGCTTTTTATCTACCCCTGTAATCTATTTAACGAGTAGGAAGAGATGAGGAATAAGCCAGGAGGGCACAATAACACCAAAAATAACTTTTTAATGAAATGTAATGGATTTTTCAAGATAAATAGCGTAGATATTCCTTGTAATTTATTTATAATTGTATTTTTCACTAAATTATAACCTTAGGTTATAACAATAATAAACGTCTTTTGCATCATTGTACCAGATTATCTGAAAAACCCAACAAGCAGTAGGCAATCAATGAGGTTTTAAAAAAAAATTTAAATAAAGAAAAAATAAAATACTTCACCAGTGACACCCTGTATATATAAATATTGAGCAAAGCTGCTGTAAATAAATGTAATGCAGCCGTTTTTGTTTTATTTTACCTCTGTAACAACTTAATTAAATTTTATTACTTTTAGTATGATTAAAATAATGCATAAAGCAGGAGTTTACGTTACAGTGTTTTATAGATAATCAATATTTTATTTTGTGGAGCGGTATAAAATGATTTTATTTGAGTGTTTTGTGTACATAAACCTATAACAAAAGATTTTTAAGTTAAAATTGCAGTTAAAAATTATTTACGGCAATAAAAAAAATTGTATAAAAAATAAAAATGTATCAATATTTTTTTTAAAAAGATACAGTATGTACCCGGATTGTCTTTATAAGAGGAAATACCTTTTTTATTGTTGAGAAAAATGTATTTTTCATAAAAACATTTTGCATGTTCTAAAACGGTTAATTTCTTCTATACTTTTCCAAATTTCCATACTGTTTCCAAGAAACTTTTTTTACGTAAGAAACGTCGTAAATTTATATTTTTTACTCAGTAGCTTTATACAGGTACGGTCGAAAAGTTATTACTTTTCAAAGCAGTTAAAACACATGTACGTGGCGCCCCCTACAAATAGTAGCCATTTTAACATCAAAATCAAATTTCTAATGTCAAAAAACTCCCAGACACCGATTTTCATCTAAATATTGATGTTACTTCAGAAATTATTATCACACCCTGTATCTCCGAAACTAAGCATTTTAGGATATACATTTATACGAACTTTCTTACGTATTTTTATCTGTAGAATATGCTGCCGAAGTTTCCGGAATACAGTTCGGACCACCCTGTATATTAATAAACCTTATTTTTCTGAATACACTGTATAATATTATTACAATAGCTGTTATTAGGCCCTAATATTTCCCTGCTTATAGCACTGTCCCAGTTGAAATAAAGGCATTTAATGCTATTTGCACTAATTGTTTTGCAACCGGCAACAAACAACAATTATTATTCCAAACCCGATTGCGTCTTATCGTTTGCTAATGACCGTGCCCTAAATCCGCACAGATTGTGTGTATTTTGCGTCACGCCGGTCACTCTAAACGGGAAATGAAAGAGGCCCGAGGGCCTAAAGGGACTCGATTTGCGTTTGAACAGAAGCCTGTGCAAATCCGAAGGTTATTACGTTTGATTTTGGGTTTACTTAGTGAGAGTATTGGAGAGATATTTGTGTAACTGTTTCCGTGGTGTAGTGGTTATCACATCCGCCTAACACGCGGAAGGTCCCCGGTTCGATCCCGGGCGGAAACAGAACTTTTTTTAATTTATTCCAGATTTTTTTAATTCAACTTTTTTATATGTATTCTTTTTAATTTAATATTATTTTTTAACCTGATTTATTTTATCCTAAGTAAAACAGAATTCTTGATATAATTTTTAATCAATCTAGATATATTTTAATTCATTGTTTTTTGAATTCAACAATGATTTTTTTAATTTATTCCAATTTTTAATTCGATATTGGTTTAAAACTGTTTTATTCTTCTTAATCTTTTTTGAATTCAACTTTTTGAAAATTTATTATACAGGGTGGTTCGATTTGTATTCCGGAAACTTCGTCAGCATATTCTGCAGATAAAAATAGGCAAAAAAGTTCTTCTAAATGTATGTTGTAAAAGGCTTGTTTCGGATATACAGGGTGTACAAGTTTCATATTTATTTCCATTTTTTCTAAATAATTTATGAAGTAACGTCAATATATTTGTTGACGTTACTATTATCAAACATTGACGTTACTTCTGAAATTATTTGGAAAAAATCGAAATAAAAATGATTCTTCTATACCCTGTATTTCCGAAACTAAGTATTTTGAGACATACATTTATACAAACTTTTTTACTTATTTTGATCTGCAGAATATGCCTAACTTCATTTTGTATACTATAATTAATTCATATATATTTTTTTTTTTTAATTCAATATACTTTTTTAATTCAATGTTTTTTTTTTTTAAATTCAACAATGATTTTTCAATTCAAAAGATATTTTATAATTTAATGCTGTATTTTTCTATTCAAGCGTTTTTCAATATTTGTTTTTATTAATTAAGTTTACCCAGGGCAAAACAGAATTCTTAATATTTTTAATTCATTCTAGAAAATTTTTAATTCAATATATTTTTTAATTCAATATCGTTTTTTTTTTAATTTAATGTTGTAATTTTTAATTTAACATTTTTTTTTAATTCATTACGATATTTTATAACTTGATGCTGGTTTTTCAAAATTCATTTAAGAGTTTTTTTTTAATTTAATATTCTTTAATTTAGTTTTACCCCGGGCATTTTGATCCAACTTTATGTTTTCTTAAATACTTACTATACGTAAAATCGGTATTTAGTTATGTTTTCAAGAGGCAAAAAAAAGTATTATTTTACTATTTTAATTCAAAATAATTTATTATTACATTATTTCTATTATTTTTTAATTCAGTACTGAATTTTTAAATATCGATTAGTATTTTTTTTAATTCAGTTGTATTTTTGGTAACTCTATACTGTTTTTTAATTCAATATTAAATTTTTCGATATAAATCTATTTTTTTATTTTAGATGGATTGGCTGGTAAACAATGCCTACCTCTAGTGACACCATCCACCCTGATGCTGAGCTCCAAAGGCAGAGTGAAACTGTGCCAGAGACCATCTTTTTTCGTATCCGGGGCTCCAGCTCATTTGGCTGGATATCTAGCTCCAGAATACAGGGCGGGCAAAATTTACAGCGACACGGAGTTTGAAAAAGTAAGTTAAAATAAGGCGGAATAATCATAATAGAAATTATAATTCAATATTAAAAATATTCAAAAGAAAATAAGCCGGTTATTTATATATAAGTTATTTATAAGACAACCTGTATATAATACACAGAGGGTCATATAATTTTTATAAGATTAGTATATTATTGAATAATCATTTTAACTTTTTTAAACACATTTTTTTTCTTTTAGATGTGGATTTTTGGATTGGGCGAAACTTTAAAAAGAGCCACATTGACAAGCCACGTTGCCACATCTAGACTAAGCGGAGAACTGTGTCATGTTCTGTCAGATATGACAAAAACGCAGCCTAGTTCCAGGTCATCTCTGATGCATTTACTGGATGTAAGTCAATAAACATAATATATTTTTATCAAACTATTTTCCCGTTATTTTTTATATATAAAGACAAGTTACAGGTTACATTTTACTGAAGAATTATTGAAAAAAAATTGACAAATCAAATGCGAAAATACAGGTTTCTAGTTGTGAAACAATTCAATTCCATCAAAAAGCAATTGAAACTTTTTGCGAGCCCTTGTAAACAGAAAAATTGACTTTTAACAAACTGAATGCGGTCAGTTCGCTTCATTTCACGATGGCCTCACTGCCTTTTGTCCATTTTTGCAGTCCACAGTTCCCATAGACATTAAAATTTATAGATATGACGAAAAATATATATCACAGCAATATTTGAGCAATTTGAAGGTTGTTTACATAAAATATTATATCATGTAAATGAATAGGATAATGCACACTATCCGTTCCGTTTCCCTTCCGTTCCATATCCTTTCCTTCCTGACTGAAGCGTATCGGAAACAGCGTTGTCAAGTTCTTACATTTGTACCAGCTCTGTTAAAATTTTACTGATATTTGTTTATTCTTTCACCTCTTAATTAAATTTATTACCTTTTTCAAATGAGGCAAATTTTTAAAATAAAACTTTCGTAAAATTGTACAATAAAAAGTATGGAACTGATACGGAACGGAAGCATTCGAATAGCGCGAATACAATCAAAAATACGGAACGGATATGGAATGGAAACGGAAGGTATAGTGAGAATCAACCTTTAAAAAATAAATCATATTTTTACGTGAGGTATCTCCCCACAAGAGATGGCACTTGTTTTTTTTAAACACCCTGTGTAATCAGTTTAATATACTTTTTAAATAATATTTACATTCAATTATGTTATACGCAGCACCAATCTTGTATGAAGTCCTAAAGGTAAAAAAATACAAAAATATGTTTACGAAAATACAAAGGAAGCTGGCTATAAGAATATGTTGCTTCTGTACGGTGTCTACAGAGAGAGTCTACTAGTGATTGCAGGCGTGGTACCCATAGATCTACAGGCAGGGGAGAGGAGTCGCACATATAAAGCTGAGCGAACGGTAAAAATATTAGAAAAACATCGCACGCTAGATGTTTGGCAAGAAAGATGGATGGGAACGAGTAGTGTTGGAACTTGGACAAGAAAACTGATCCCAGATATACGACCTTGGGTTAATAGAAGGCACGGAAACATGAATTTCTTCTTAACACAACTGATAAGCGGCCATGGCTGTTTCATGTCATACCACTTCTTCTTCTTCTTCTTCCTTCTTCATATTAGGCGAATCGCCTGTTTGGTTTCGTCGTCTCTACCGGTTAGACTGACAAGTTGTCGCTTCATCGTTTTCGTGGACGTCCTAAGCTTCTGCGACCTAGCGGTGATTTGTCGCGTGCAACTCTCACTATCCTTCTGTTGTCCATTCTGCTGATATGCTCGTTTCATTCTTCCTTTCTGCTGAGTACACACTCATTTACATTTTCCACCTTGCACGCTCTTCTTATGCTTTCATTTCTCTTCCTGTCCAGAAGCGTCTTTCCAGCTATTCTGCGTAGTACTCTCATTTCGGTTGTTTCTAGTAGTTGTTTAGTTTTCGCTGTATCAGGTCGAGTTTCTGCAGTGTATGTCATTATTGGTCGTAGCGTTGCCTTGTAAATTCTCGCTTTAGTCTCCACCTCAATGTTTTTATTTCGCCATATTGTATCATTTAGGCATCCTGCTATTCTGGTTACCTTCGTTGTCCGTTCTCGCACCTCCGCTTCTACATCACCATATCCTGAGATTTCTATGCCTAGATACTTAAACTTCATCTCTTGCTGAATAACATTGCCCTCGACTTCCAGTTTGCATCTTAGTGGTACTTTTAATGTCGTCATGCATTTAGTTTTCTGAGTCGATATTATCATAATAAGTGATTTGGCAGTGCAATTAAATCGATGTAATAAGCGCTGTAGATCGTTCTCATTTTCAGCTACCAATACGGCGTCGTCGGCATAGTATAGAATAGTAAATTCCTGGTCGCCCATACTGTATCCCTTCAGTAAACGTACATTTCCTACTACTTCGTCCATAATGATATTGAAAAGAAGAGGGCTCAGGGAGTCACCTTGTCGGATACCACAGCCTGCATTTATTGGTTTGGTCAGGACCCCGTTAATTTTAGCTTGAATTTGGTTCGCTTCATATATGTTTTGTATGGTTTTAACGAGGTTGTGTGGGATTTGCCTATTGTAAAGAAGATGTACACGTCTCTTAGCTGCACACAGTCGAACGCTTTCTAAATCAGTGAACCACGGCTCATAGAACCGACACTCTGTCATACCACTGTAGGTTTAAAAAGGAGAATCACAAAGCTGTTACTATTGCGAAAACACACAAGATGATGTAGAGCATCCTTTTTCTCGTGTGTCCCCGTTGGATAGGTGAGCGAAGGAAACTGGAGTACGAAAGTGGGACTGAAATTAGACCCGAACAATATAATAGAACAAATGTTAAAGTCAAGAGTTGTATGGAATTCTGTATCCGATATGGCAAAAAAAAAGATATTAGAAACAAAAAGAGGCAGACTTGAAGAGAAGACAGCAAGATTAAATAGAAGACAAAGCTGCATGCTGAAGTAATACTTACCGGTAGTTCCAACTTGTAGTGAAGAAAAGGATGAGGTTTTTTGTGGGTGGAATCCCACAATTATCTGTCATCAACATCCGATAGATGTCTTTAAAAGATCTTTCTTCTCCTCAAAAAAAATACATTCTGTACTGCAGTTATTTTTATTTTTTGAGGCGTTTATTTGACAAACACCTACTTAATATTCAAAATTGAAAATCTGATACGATCTAGTTTTTTTGAATAAGTTTAAAAAAATAACACTAATATTTTTCGAAAATCATGTACCTACACCAATTGGCGTTCTATATTTTTTAATGTTTATGGTTCTAAGACCATTTTTTGTCCCTGTCCTCTGCTGTCCAGTAAAGCAAAATTCGGCTTGCTTATTGTTTTCCTTTTTGGTTTTCCACATAAAATCACTAATCCAATAATGGAATTATTTGACCAAACAATTTGTTTAGTTTAATTGTATTTTCAAACAATGATTACAAATAATATAGACCTATTTATAGGTGGCCCTTATTGTTATTTCTTTTATTATTGAGCAGGCTATGAGATGAAATAACAAATGTAAATTTATTTTAAATAAATAAACTCTGATTTTAGAATATTATTTAAACAGAATATTCGGTACTGAGCAATGTGTAATCAAGACTTTGTATTAAAAACACTCTGTACAATCCTTATAGGTAGACTATTCAGTGACTTGAAAATATCCCTGTTATTTAGTTATACATAAAAAATGCTTCAAAAACGTACATGAACATTCAAAAAAGTACATTACATTCAAATCACATCACGCATGCATTAAAATGCTTTCAGTGTCGATTATACTCTTAATTTATCAATATCTAATCAAAAATATACCGATAAATACATTTTTTAATGAATATGTTTACCTATAATTGTGTATTTTTATTTTACTGTGTATTTTAATAATTATAACAAAATCAACTCAAAACACTTACCCAGTGTAGCTTAGGTTCACCTGCCGATTCACTTTTTCACCTAAATTTCACATTTTACAAGTTTGTCTAGGTAATATAGTGTTCAATATCACTATAACTAAATAATAACAGAAAAAATAAACCGAAAAACACGCTATAGTTAATAAAACACTATTTTTTCTGTATAAAAATATAATTTACATATTAAAGACAGAGTTGTTTATAAAATAACTGAATATCGTCTTGACAGATCGATGAATGCCAATTTTATCACAGCCTACTGTGGGACCAGAATAGTTCGTTTAAGGATATAATTCAAATTTTTACTAGTTAACAACTTTTTATATAAGAAAAATGTTATTAAAATTTCATTAAATTTGGAAGATATTTTATTAAATAATTTATTTTAAGTGGTTTGGATTTAATTTTCTTATGTTTAAGTCTGTTTTTAATGAATTTATATTAGTATTTTTTTATTTAAATTTTGAATTCGTTTTTCTGAACAGCCTGTAATATGTTTATTAAATTCTTATAAAAATTTATGTAGAATAAACTGCCTTCTATTAGAAATTTAATATAAATTAATTAAAAAATGCATGCACGTAAGCTATTTTTTTATAATTTGGATATAATTTTTCACGTAAAATTGAAAATATTTCAAAAACGGTTAAACCTAGGTATAGAACATTATACACAAAATACGTTTAGAATTTAACGTAGAATTCAAAAATGTAAAAATATACAGGGTGTTTTATTTAATATAAGCAAGTTCTCAGTAATATTAAACATGTATAGGGCAACCTAGAAAACCGCCTAACGAAATCTCCCTTTTACAAAGTGCGGAAGAGAGATAACATGACGTATCGGGCTTTTCAGTCACAGAAAAGCTCGAATGAAAACGCCTTGCGTAACCATCTTCTGATGCGTGTCAAATGTAAAATGTAGAATGTATAGGAGGGGAGTTATGTCCGGACATCATTAGCCAACACGCTACGCCACGCGATGCCATGCTACTCCACGTCATGTGGATCAGTACGTATGTTTTTCCATTTAATTACATGTATTGCATACACACTAGGCAACACGCCACGCCATCCAACGCTCTAACACGCTATGACACGTGTGATGGTCGATTCGTCGGTCCCAGATCTCACCGACGTGTGTTACGGCGTGTTGTTCCCCGCTTGCCTCTCTAGTCCCGCAGCTATCTACTTTTGTAGTTGATGTAGGGATGCCCCAAAAAGATTGATCCCCAAAAGATTGATTTAATAATATCAATATTCGATTCTGAATATATTGGTGTACTGGTATTATGATTATAATCTAATATCGGTAAGGGTATCGATACTTCTAGTATTTTCGTAATAAAAATTCGTGTTAACACGTGTTAACACGTGTTACCTAATGTGTAGACCCATTCCCACGTCGCAACACGTGGGACAGCGCGGCATCGCGTGGCATCACGTCG